TGGTGTTCTATCTGAGGATGAATTTATGACATACCTTTTTGAAACACCTTGTAAATATATATATACAATTTTTGATTTTGAATGCATATATTGACATTTTGTTAATTTTTTGGCATATATCTGACGTACTAATTGGCTGGACATATTAAAATTATGAGTTTTGGACCAAAATAATATTTTGTGAAATGCCTTTACAGGTCGATTTCCTAAAATTTTGAAGGATTAACTTTTCCCTGTAATAAATTACGGTTAATGGTGTAGATACTTGAAATGATTAAATTATAAACACCCTCCTTAACCAACAAATTTTGCTAAATATCCTTTCAGGTAGTTGTATTAATATCTTCAAATTTCTAAACGTTAATATATTTAAATTTCTAAATGACACAGTTTACTTTCAAATAATAAATATTAATAAACTATTTCCATCAAATAACAAATTACTCTTATTGCATATGCTCTGCATATTTTTCAATTTTTTACGCATATATTGAAGTATTTTGCGGCATATATATGCGCATATTTAACTACTTTTTGGGTGCATATATTCCTAGGTCTAGTTATTAATATTATAAATTTAGAGGTATTTTACAACCGACATTATGGTAAAAAAAAATCATTTATATGTCAGTACCTACCGTGGCATTAAAATTTTGAAATTTTGTCACAGTTTTCGTTGTGTTGTAGCTGTAGTGAACCACTTTACAGGCTTATTTCTGTGCATAAATAGAAAACAAAAACGCGTAGAACATTCGTTTTAAAACATTTTAATTTTAGAAAAAATTAAGTTGTAAAAATCGCATTTACACGAAAATCGCCCAGTCGAATGTACTTTATAAACTATTTGGTAGGGCGTCAATTTTTAATAAAAACAAAACTTACCCCGGTAACCTTATAATAGTGCCCATCTACAGCAAATCAATTACTAACTACAAAAAGTTTATATACTTACACTATAAATAAAATATAATTTTTAAATACAATTTGTATAATTTTTACTGCTAAAATTAGTTGAGTCTTTCAAAATGGTTCATTTTCATGTTTTTCTTGCATTATAAGTTGAATTGAACAATCAAAATTTCTTATATGTTAAGTTTTAAACATGGTCATCGTTTGGCTTTTACGACTTTACAACGCGTAATGGCTGTATGTACTAAAATTTAGCCCTAAATTAAGTTATTAATTTAGTACTAAATTTAGAACTAAACATATTTTTTTCCTTTTGCAACGATACCAAAATTTAGTACTAAATTAAGTATAGGCGCACGCGCATTGACGTATTATTACGTGAAATTAGCATAGAAATAAAACATTATGTGGAAATAAGACAAGTGAAATAAAAGATGTTTTTATTATGACTTGACAACAACCAAATGCAGCAATGCTACTAAAAATCACGAAAAAACACAATAATACCTGCAAAATAAAACACAAGCGAAATTTGTCCAAGGTGATAATCCAAAGTTGTCGACAACCAAAAACAAAATGGTGTAGAAAAGACCGTTGTGTCAACTTTTTCTTAGAAAAACTTCTGCGCAACATTTCAACGCATTTTTAATACTAAATTTAGTAGAAAATAGAAATAGAAAAGTTCCAATTAATTTATTATTTTTTTAGTACTAAATTTAATACTAAATTTGCTTTTTTGCACCGTGGGTTTTTTTAGTACTTAAAAAATGCATTAATTTAGCTCTAAATTTAGTACTTAATTCAGTATCGTAACATACAGCCTTAATATATGAATTACTGATATTTCGTTAGGTAGGTACTATGTGCCACAGTTTGACAACACTGTATACAGTAAAATTACGTAACTAACACAATTACACAACTGGCACTGGCTCATATTGTCGATTCTCGTCGTGCACACATAACAATAAACACAAGGCATAAGGAAATAGAAGAAATAGGTAAACATGACAAATGTAGAAATAAATGCCACGAATTACGGATAGCAATCTCATAAAAATAATATTCAGGCTAATACAGTTGACGAATATTATAGGTTGAATATATTTATTCTATATCCAAATATTCAATCCATATCTTACACGTACCTATACATTTTACTTTTTTTTTAAAGTAGGTAATGTTAAAATTTAAAATACCCGTATCTATTATAGTTGGCAACCCTGTCTGAATTAGTTATGCTATTTTAATTTAAGTATTGTTTGTTCAAATAGTTATTCGTTAATAAAAATCTTTCACCAAACTATTTCCACATTATTTTCTCTAACAGATAAAAACAAAACAAAAAGCAATAGCAGTTGCTATGTTGTAAATTGTAAAAATACTTTCAGAAAAAACAGTGTAAATTATATAAATTTTCAGTAGCAAAATGGAAATTAAATCAAAGAAAAAAATGGATAGCTGTACAATAAGAAGAAAAAACCTTTATTTATGTAATAATAACAGTAATACTGGAAATAATAGACATCAGAAAATTGAAAGGTTTTAAATAAACAATAAATTATTATTTTACAATGTTGTTCAACATGTCTTAACTTTTAGATTTCTGCCATTGATTATTGTATGTGGCTGAAATGCAATCTTGTGACTCATTGATAGGAAACCAATTTTAATCATTAATTTCTATGGGTTCTTTCGAACTAAAAATGAAGAAAATATAAATTATAATCGCAAATTTACCAATAATTTTTGTTAATACCATTATTATATAATGGTAATGTTTTTATTTTCACATTATTTAACCTATTCTACAATGACAACTTATTAGGCTTAGGCAACATATCATACATTTTTTTTTTGCTGAAGTAATAAAAATATATAATAATAATTAATTTTTTCACTTGTTTTACAAATCTATATACTTTGATTAAAATCAACATATATATTTTTTTAAGTAGGAATTGCGCTTTGCATGATGAGCGTACATCGAAAAATAATCGCAAAAAACTAAAAAGAAATCATATTTTTTGTTATCGATTATTTTAGGTAGAGGAAGAAGAAAATAAAAATTTGCGTTTTGCTAGTGTTCGTCAACGTGTTTGTGTATTTTTTGTTTTTGTGTTTCTATAAATATTTTATTTTTTTTAATATTATGTATGTCTTTGTCTTCTTGTTTTTTATTTTATTTTTTTTTTGTTAGGTTATTTTATTTATTAGAAACTTTTGTTAATTTGTATTGCTCTTTTATTTTTCATTTTCTTAGTTTTTCAATAAATAAACATTCTAAATTTTTTCAAAATTTTGCCGCCCCCCCCCCCCCCCTATAGAATTGTGTAACGACGCATATGGTTTTAAAGCTACTAATCTAATGAGTAGATACCTGTTAATATCCTCGATTTAACGGATAAAATTAAAACATATATGTTAAATTTTAAACATATTTCTGCTTATAGAATAGATTTTTGCGGCACAAATGAACTATTATGTTAATTATGACTAGTTAAAATTTTTCATGAATTTACAGAATTCATTTTCATATTTAACATACTATATTTTTAACGTCTATTAAAGTTTAAGATGTTCATTATATAATTGCCACTATTCAGGGAGTTATTTCAAAAACAAAAAACATACGGTGAATGTAAGGGACAAAAACAATTAGTGCGACGTATGTGAAGAAGAACAAGAATAAAGAAATGATTGTTTCACATAGTATTATCCAATAAATGTTGCACAAAATGGCTACAATTTATTTTTCATAATATTTTTGCTCTAAGTGTATTTTGGTTTCGAAACTTAAAATTGGATTTGCAGAGAATTAACTTTTAACGACCTACATCGTTTTTGCTTTGGCCTCTTCACTTGCTGATAAAATACTTAATTATTGTAAATGCCAAATTTGTTTGGTAATTTTTAAACTGTGGGATACAGTTTACGAAAAAATGTTTGATATGTACTCAATTGCAAAATTATTTTGCATTTTTGAACGATTTTTTTGCTAGTGATTTCTCCCGAAAAAAAACTTTTATTCTTAAATGCAAAAATTACATTTCTCAATCTTGTATCAAAAATAACTAAGTATTTTTAGTAGATAGGTACATGTAAATAAATGGAATTATAAAACAGCGAGTTAACGAATACAATCGAGAGGGAAATAAAATATTTACTTAGGTACTATTATATAAATAATAAAATGATTTAGGTAATTACATTATTGCCTACTCATCATTATCATTGTTAAATTGTTAAACTTACACTGTGAATTCCAAACGGCGCAAACTCGCGAAAAGAATGTTGATTCGCGGCTTACAAACAGATCGATATCATCCTCAATCAAATGCATTCGGAACTCCTCCTACAATGCACGGCCATTTTATGATTACTCACAAACATTTACAATTTTTTAATTATTTTCTTTTAAATAGGTAGGTATTATCAAATTTCTTCGTTTTTAATTAATTCATTTATTCCAATTTTCTCAATATTAAAATTTAATTTTTGGAGTTTTTAAAATTTTCTTGGAATACTTAAAAGCGAAATATTTTTAATCTAGGTATGAACGTTGTTGAAACATATCACTTTTTTTGAAAAGTACCAATAGGTATTTAAGTTAATTCAATTACAAATAGAGCCAATAGAGGTGCAGCTGGTTGAATCTATGAAATAGCTCGTATTCGGTGACATATGGCTTTGAGTTATTTATTTTATTTTATGAAATAAAGCTACAAAGGACTTCCATAATTTTTTTTAATTTCTTTTGTAAACTAGTTTTTGTACGTCGTACGTTTTATTACAAAGTAAATAATATGCAAAAATATTTATATAATATTCCCGATAGATAAATATATCCTAAAATCATAAAGTTATTTATGAAATAAAGAACTGTAAATTCTTCAGTTACTTAGGTACCTACCTACGTACCGAGATACTTAATTTTTAGTAAAATAATTTATTCGAATCAAAAATTCCATTTCAAAAATATATAACTAATATTATACCTACTTACATCCTTTTTTAAAATATATATTTCTTAGGATTTTATTTTTTATTTAATAAACAATACCTAGTTAATTATACAAATTATTAATTTCGTCTTTTTGTTTCAGATGCTAAAATATTGCGATCATCTTCATGGAAAATGGTACTTTTCTGAAGTTAGAGCGATATTTTCTAGAAGATACTTGTTGCAGAATAATGCCATCGAAATATTCTTGGCAAGCAGAAGTAAGTAAATTTATATTTTTACTTTTTTTTTGAAAAAAAGATTTTGAAATTTTTTTTTCGAAAATTGAATTTCACTATAGTTTATTTGAAAATGCATGATAGCACAGTTTTTATATATACAAGATTATTCAAAGCAGAAAAAAGTAAATATTGATAACTTTTTATCTGAATTTTCACTAGATTTTAGTATGACCACCCCGAAAAATCTCGAATACAATACGTCATAAAATGTAACTAAGCAAAATCTAAGGGATTAACCAATAATTCTATACCTCAGTGACGGAGAACACGAAATAACTTTAATATAAAAAATAGTAAACTGTCAATATTAGGTACCCACATTTATTTTTATAAAAATAGTATAGATAAATATTAGGTTAGGACATTTCCTTAAAATTTAATAATAAATACACATACAACCAGTGGCGGCTCGTAATAATTCAAAAAGAGTCTTTACTTTTTTCCAATAATTTTATCGTTTGTAAGTTCAGTTCAAAATTTTGTACAAGCGCCAATATCGCTGTTTTTTTTATTTGGGTTTATATTGTCGCGCAAAAGCCAACCCTGTGCTTTTTTTACTCCTCGCATGGAGTATGAAGCCTAGCGCTGGCAATATGGAGACAAACGCAATGCTTTTCGGAACTACCAGAAAAAGCGGTACGTGGCCGTTAAGTCATAGAGATGGAATTCTCGGACATTCGACATCGTCTAGAAACTTTTTTCTTTCTTGAATAACTTTTTCTAAACAAAAAAAAGGTCCTCAACCGAAAAAAACTTCTCAAGCACTAAAACATTTCTCAAGCACTAAAACATTTCCTCCGCTTGCATTAAAAAAACCTGTTGCCGGGCCCCCATTTGAGCCCGGGCCCCGGGAATTAGTCCCGGCTACCCCCCCCCCCCCCAGTCGGCCCTGGAAACCAGCGGTAAAATTGATATTTGTGTACCAAGACTGTGTTTTGGCTGAATCAGATATTTGTGGCCGAGGCTAAGCGACTTCTGGTTAATTATAAGAGTAATAGGCAAGGAACGGATGTTTAATCAAGATTGACATCGAGATAGATGTCAGATAAACAGGTGTACTAAAGATGAACTTGATATTCTAAAAACCATGCATAAAATGCATACAATAAATAAGAACGACTGCCTGGAAGTGTCTTAAGGAGGCTGAAGTCAAAAAATAGAGCTGAATAGATAGATAAGCATGGGCGTCGTTTGGGGGGGGCAAGGGGGGGCAGTTGCCCCCCCCTGGCTTTTACGACTTTACAGCGCGTAATGGCTGTATGACACATTACTAAATTAGGTACTAAAATTTAGCCCTAAAGTAAGTTATTAATTTAGAACTAAAAATATTTTTTTTCCTTTTGTAACGATACCAATTTTTAGTACTAAATTAAGTATAGGCGCACGCGCATTGACGTAATATTACGTGAAATTAGCACAGAAATGAAACATTCTGTGTAACTGAGAAAAGTGAATTAAAAGATGTTTTTACTATGACTTTGACACTTGTTGACTTGACAACAACCAAATGCAGCAATGCTACTAAAAACCACGAAAAAAAAATAAAATTTATAAAATCAAACACAAGCGAAATTTGTCCAAGGTTATAATGCAAAGTTGTCGCTAACCAAAATCAAAATGGTGCAGAAAAGACCGTTGTGTCAACTTTTTCTGAGAAAAACTTCTGCGCAACATTTCAACGCATTTTTAATACTAAATTTAGTAGAAAATAGAGGAAGTTACAATTAATTAATTAATTTTTTTAGTACTAAATTTAATACTAAATTTGCTGTTTGCAATGTAAATTTTTTTAGTATTTAAAAATGTATTAATTTAGTTCTAAATTTAGTACTTAATTTAGTATCGTAACATACAGCCTTAGTATATAAATTACTGATATTTCGTTAGGTAGGTACTACGTGCCACAGTTCGACAACGTTTTTTTTTTAAATTTATGGCCTTGGCATTGCCAATTGGCCAAACTAATTTTTGACAACGCCTGTATACAGTAAAATTACGTAACTAACACAATTACACAACTGGCACTGGCTCATATTGTTTAAGGGAATAGAAGAAATAGGTAAACATGATAGGTGTAGAAATCTAAATGCCACGAATTACGGACAGTAATCCTATAAAAATAATATTCAGGCTAATACAGTTGACGAATATTATAGGTTGAATATATTTATTCCATATCTTACACGTACCTATACATTCTACTTTTTTTTAAAAGTAGGTAATGTTAAAATACCCGTATCTATTATAGTTGGCAAACCTGCTTAAATTACTTTTGTTTTATAAAGATGTCAATGTAAATTAACCAACGAATGTGCGCACCTGAGTTGCTATTTTAATTCTAGTATTGTTTGTTCAAATAGTTATTCGTTAATAAAAACCTTTCACCAAACTATTTCAACATTATTTTCTCTAACAGATAAAAACAAAACAAAAAGCAGTAGCAGTTGTTGTGTTGTACATTGTAAAAATACTAGCAGAAAAAACAGTGTAAATTATATAAATTTTCAGTAGCAAAATGGAAATTAAATCAAAGAAATAAATGGATAGCTGTACAATAAAAAGAAGAAAACTTTTATTTTTGTAATAATAACAGTAATACTGGAAACAGTAGACATCAAAAAATTGAAAGGTTTAAATAAACAATAAATTATTATTTTACAATGTTGTTCAACATCCCCTAACTTTTAAATGTTCAGCAAAGATTAGATTTCTGCCTTTGATTATTGTATGTAGCTGAAATGCAATCTTGTGACTTATTGATAGGAAACCAATTTTATTGATTAATTTCTATGGGTAATATAAATTAAAATCGCAAATTTACCAATTATTTTTGTTAATACGTTTTGATATTACGTTATTATATAATAGTAGTTTTTATTTTTACATTATTCAACCTATTCTTCAATGACAACTTATTAGGCTTAGGCAACATATCATACATTTATTTTTAGCTGAAGTAATAAAAATATATAATAATAATAATTTTGTCACTTGTTTTACAAATCCATATACTTTTACTAAAATAAACATATATATTTTTTAATTAGGGATTTCATTAAAAATTGTATTGTCAGTATACGCAAATATCGTCCTTTAGTTCATGAATTAGTTGGCGCTACTGTCACGCACAGAGCAAATAAATAATAAAAATAGGCTGACTGCGCTTTGCATGATGAGCGTACATCGAAAAATAATCGCAAAAATTAAAAAGAATTCATGTTTTCTGTTATCAATTACTTTAGGTAGAGGAAGAAGAAATTAAAAATGTACGTTTTGCTAGTATTGTCAACGTCTTTGAGTGAGTTTTTTTGTTTTTGTGTTTCTATAAATATTTTATTTTTAAATATTATGTATGGCTCTGTCTTCTTGTTAATATTTTTCTTTTATTTCACACATTCTGTTTATTATTTAAAAATTTGTGTTTTAAGTTTCTTGTTTTTTCTATTTTAGTTTGTGTCTTTTTGTTGGGTTATTTTATTTATTAGAAACTGTTGTTAATTTGTATTCTTTTTTTATTTTTCATTTTCTTTGTTTTTCAACAAATAAACATTCTAATTTTTTTTTAAAAATTTGCCCCCCCCCCTATAGAATTGTGTAACGACGCCCATGTAGATAAGTAATATTTTAGTCGATGAATGTTATAAATATGATAAATTTATGAATCAATTGTTAATGCATAATTTCAGTTTATTTTCATTTTTATTATAAAACTATGGCTGACATAATAAAACTCTTAAAAGTATATATATTTTCAATTTTTATTATTATAAATTATTTAGTTTTCAGTTATTCTTCCTGACCTAGGGCAAATCTCATCGAGTTCACGTATGACGTATTGTGGTACAGAATATATCTATGATGGCTATGTAGTGTGACGAAAGTCTAATTTATTTAAAGTTTATTTAAAAACACACAATTTACAATTTACTTCAGACGTACTATTTAATTTATGTAATATTTAAACACTAACAATTCTAATTTATTTCTTACACTTTAACTTTCCAATACAATGTTCTATCTTAAACTAAACTCGGCGCTGATACGTCGGCTATTTATATTAGTCTAACTCCACTACTGGAAATTGCTAGAGACTTCGCGAAGATGACTAAACGGCACTCCCCGCAATTCCAGATGTTTCGAGTGAATCAGCGGCAGACATTCGAGACGCGGTCCGGCTGTTTCCGCACGTCAGCGTTGCTGCGATCACGAATTGGTTGCCATGTGAAGGCCGCGTGAATACACAGGCACAAGGTCGGATTAGGGATATCATAACAGTAAATTGAAATTTATTTTTGCGATCAACTAATACCTCAAGCCACGTCTTCGCATCACAATGTGTCGTAGCAACAAATCTGCTTAATCTCACACCATTTTTTTAAGTATCAAGGATATGAGGTTGATCATCATGTTTCAATTGAGTCATTGAACCTAAAAAATAATGAATATCAATAATAAGAATTCGGAATTTATTCGAAATACATTTTTCTGTAGGAATTATATAGGATGTGTCTCGTTAATATACTGACAAACTTTTATAGGTGGTAGGTGCATCAAAATCAACAACATTTTTTGCTTAACGAACATAATAATATGTCCGAAAATACTTCGTTTTTGAAACATATTGATTAAGCAAAAAAGTTTATTTTAATGTCATCTCTACCACCGCTAAAAGTTTGTCGGTATATTTACAGTTCTCCTATTTTCGTTCGACAGAGCAATTTTAATGTAATGTCTTTCTCTATTCTGTATGTAATGTGTCTAGTTCGCACAAAAGAATCGCTGTCCTGATCAGAAAAAATTAATAACATCAAAAGTGTTACACAGGAAGAAAATTAGGTCCCCTGTTATTTTTAATTTATATCAATCGTATATCATTACATCAATAACAAGGGTCAGTATGACATTTACCCATGATGTCCTTGTCTATATTGTTGTAAGGATTCATATAACTTAGTAAGAGTTCTTAATGAAACTCTGCAAAATGTTTATAAATGGTGTTGCAATCATTTGTTAAAAATCAACAAAAATAAAACAAAATATATGCTCATAAGTAATAACTATATGCGGTTTGTGGACAAACAATATAGAAAATTGGAGGAAAATCTATACAGTTAGTCAAAAAATTAAAATATTTACTGGTAATTATTCGGAAACGGATGAATTTCACAGACCATATGCAAATACTGTTATCAAAACAATTGCAGTTAAATTACATTTCCTATTTAGAATTTGATTATAAAAATATAAAATAAAATATAAAAATAAAAATAAAATAGAAACCGAAAACATACCTTTTCTGGATCTACAATAATTGGAAAATATATATAAATAAGTACATTTTATTTTTTAAATTATTAAAGTCCATAAAATTGAAATGACAAGTCAAACCACAAACGTCAAACTTTCAAAACAACAATATTTGTGTTGAGTTCCAAACAGAAAATACCATTGTAGAATACTTTATTTACTTGACACCGTTCCCCGTACAGCACCTCGCCCTTCACCCAGGAACATGGTCAAATTGGGCATAGGGAGAGCGATATTGCAATTTTTCACTTTCCGTCTGTTCAGATGGCAGCATCTTATGGACTATAATACTATAAAAAATGGTGGAAAGTCCATAACTTTTAAATATTTGTTAAATATTACTTATTAAAATATTATGCATTAAAACAAACTATAGACTTTCCACCATTTTTTACTGTACTCTGGACCCATTTTTAAAAACAATTTTTGAAAATATTATCGTTCAGAGCTGTATTTTTTGTGATAAAAAAGTCGCCGTCACTTGTCATTGACAACGCATTAAACTTGGACTTAAAAGAAAGGCATAAACATCTTTTAGGTTTGGAGATATATCAATTTGTATATAATATACTTAATATTTGTACCCATCAATGGCCCAGGTGTGATAGCCCTCCCAAAAATTTTTTAAATCCGAAATTAAGCTATTTTTAATTAATTACAAAGTTAACTGTTTGTTTTTTTTTTAGCATCAATCATGTTTGCCTTCCCAGACCAAACCACCGTGAAGAAAGTCATTAAGGCTCTACCCAGGGTGGGCGTCGGAATCAAATATGGTATTCCGCAAACGAGGAGAGCTAGCATGATGTCGCCTAGACAATTAATGAGAAATTCCAATATGACGCAGAAATGGCAACGGAGGGAGATTTCGAATTTTGAGTATTTGATGTTCCTGAATACTATTGCGGGTAAGTAACGTTGATAAGTTTTATATAAGGAGGTAGTAAACCCGGACCACAGAAATGTATAGCTTTAAAGACAATCTAATACAATAAAATGCATATGTCAATAAACTAAAACTGGTGCTTTAAAATTTTTCAAACGAATAATAAGTTATCACAAGCAGCAATTTATTATCCTTTTACAATAATTTGTAGATTTTCTAATATTAAGTGCAAAATGCTTAAATTGCCGGGATATTGCTGGCCTTTTGCTGTAATTAAAGCAATAATAAATGCGAGGAATAAAAATTAAAAGCTTACTTGGGTCCTTTTGATAGTGGCCCAGCATTATGTTGGTTAATGATTGGGTAAGAGCGAGGTAATAGTCAAAAGGCTTTTAACTGCCGCAGACTAAACCCTCCAACAGTCCAGGAGGGTTTTGTCCCACGTTCATAGATGGAGTTTCGGATTGCCGGCATTCACTATTCATTGTAATTTCTTACTCATACATGTTATTAGTTTAAAATATTTTATGAATATACATTTTGTAGGTCTGTAAAAGGTTTTTACAAAAACATACCACATATTCCTTAGACCAAAATAAGTCGATTTAAGTAAAATTACCTTAGTACAAAGTTGCTTCGTTTGGGCTCCAGAGGGCCTTGAAGTTACAATTTTTAAATCGTTTTTCCCATATAAATTTAAAACGGCATATGCAATTTTGCTGAAATTTGGTATATTGGTAGAGTTTTATGTGGCAAAAAAAATGGTATTAAAATTTTGTCCGATAATAATACATAGTCGTAGAACTTGATTTTTTAAATAATTGCACCATTAAAAATTCTACGCCAATGGAAGAAAAGGAGTTTGAGTATGAAATTTAGATTGCGCAACTCATTTACTTTAAAAAAGATACTCTTGATAAGACTCGATTACTCTCATGGTTTTCGCTAAATTTCTGTTTTAATAATTTAGAGTGTTTAGGTTTCACAAAAATATTTATTTACAACATAATCAAAATAGAGATTTTACAAAAATTGTTCAAAATTTTCACCATTTTCACGCATACAAAGATTTATTCGTCGAAGAAAATTAAAATGTATCCTTTCCATAACTTCTTCATCACCTCTAAGATTGTTTATTGCATCTTGAATACGTTGCCAGAGTTGTTTCTCATTTTCTACAGGTTCCCTGTAAACTGTGGATTTCAGATGTCCCCATAAAAAGTAATCCATCGGTGTTAGGTGTGGGGAACGTGGTGACCAGTTTACAGGTGCGTCATTACCTCTGCCTATCCATTGGTGTGGATATTGTTCATTCAAGTGGTTTCTAACGTTTAAAGAAAAATGTGGTGGAGCTCCATCTTGCATAAACCACATATCTCTCCGAAGTTAGAGAGGTAAATCTTCTAACAATTCTGGCAACGTATTTTGTAGAAAATCCAAATAATTTTCTCCAGTTAATTTTCGTGGAAGTATGACAGGACCAACAATGAAATTACCAATTATTCCAGCCCACACATTAATTTTGAAAATGGTTTACCTTTATTGCATGCGGATTTTCAACGGCATAAACATGTTCATTATGGGTATTAGTTATACATCTTCTTGTAAAACCCGCTTCATCGGTAAAGAGAACCTTCTTGACAAAGTTTGGATCTCTTTCTGTTTGCATATTAACAAATCGACAAAAACCCAAACGAATTTGAGGATCATGGACTAATAATTCTTGTACTGGCTTCTTATGGTATGGATATAGCAATTGTTCTCTAAGCACTTTATGAACGACATCTTTATTTACTCCTAGTTCCCTTCCAATTCGTCTGATGCTTAATTCTGGATCTTCTTCAACACGTTCTAAAATGTCTTCTTCAACTTCAGGAATCCTTACAAAACGTTCCCTTCCATTATCAACAGTGTTGGGAGCAAAGGAACCGGTCTCCCGAAGACGTCTCTCAACAGCAGCAAAAGTTGGGTCGCTAGGTACACGACGATTTGGAAACCTTTCAGAGTACACCCTGACACTCTCTCGAGCATTTCTTTCACAAAATCCTAATGTCAGTAACATATCGGTATACTCTGCATTGGTATATTTTACAGCCATATTAATAAACCAAGCATTTGTTTTTTTAATTATTGAGTCAGAACACTTTCAATCGTTAACAAGAGATTAGGTGTTAAAACTTGACAATATTTTTATTTAGATGAAACTATGGAAACCAACAATAAATGTTTTTGTATACGTATTGCAGGCAAATAATTAATATTCCTCAAAAAATCGTACATGGCAAGAATCGAGTATTTTTGTTAAAAGTCTTCATTAGAGGTGTTGAAGAAGATATGAAAAAAGTACATTTTTATGTTTTTCATCGTATAAAATTTTGTCCGATAATAATACATAGGCGTAGAACTCGATTTTTTAAATAATTGCACCTTTAAAAATTCTACGCCAATGACAGAAAAGGGGTTTGAGTATGAAATTTGGATTGGGTACTCATTTACTACAAAAAAGTACCCTTGATAACACTCAATTTACTCTCATGGTTTTGACAAAGTTCGTATTTTAATAATTATTGTTTATGCAAATTTCGTCAAAACCATGAGAGTAATCGAGTTTTATCAAGAGTACCTTTTTTAAAGTAAATGAGTTGCGCAATCTAAATTTTATACTCATACTCCTTTTCTTCCATTGGCAAAGAATTTTTAAAGGTGCAATTATTTAAAAAATCAAGTTCTACGCCTATGTATTATTATCGGACAAAATTTTAATACCATTTTTTTGCCACATAAAGCTCTACCAATATACCAAATTTCAGCAAAATCGCATATGCCGTTTTAAATTTATATTGGAAAAACGATTTAAAAATTGTAACTTCAAGGCCCTCTGGAGCCCAAACGAAGCAACTTTGTACTAAGGTAATTTTACTTAAATCGACTTATTTTGGTCTAAGGAATATGTGGTATGTTTTTGTAAAGACCTTTTACAGACACCCTGTATAACATTGCTGAACTAACAAAATCAGCGTTTCTGGAATCTTTTACACCTAAGAATATCACAAGTGGGTTTTCAAGACCCGGCATTTGGCCATTTAATAGACTTGCATTTGGCGATGATGATTTTGCACCAATACAAATATTTGATTCCAGTTCTCAAGAGATTGCTGATGTTGTACATGTGACAAACGAAGAAAATGCACAACTGAAAGGTTCTGTGGATACAGATATTACCAGAAACGATGTGGTTAACGATAACTGTGAATCAAGTGAGATACCAGTTGTTGATAATGCGGGCCCCCATGAGACCCGATTGGAAGAGGATGTAACATCTCCTAATGTACATCCTTTACATTCTATTCCAATATTGTCTCCTGAAGTAGTTAGACCATATCCTAAAAAAATCCTTGGGTCGTCCTCATCTAAGAAAGGAAGAGAGAAGGGAAAATCGAGAGTCTTCACTGATACACCAGAGAAGGATAGATTACAGGCGTTGTACGAAGAAAAAATAAGAAAACGACAAGTTAAAATGATGAAACAGAAAGCAAAAGAGTTGAAAACGACAAGAAATTTATTGGGTTTAACGGAAACTCAACAACTTAAGAATAAAAGACGACTCCATTCACAATTTGATTCTGATACCAGTCGCAATGAATCTGTGACATTAAGTGATGATGATGACATGGGTTTTGTATCTGATCTAGAAGATTCGGATATATGTTTTGATGTTCCCAATCCTAAAAATATAAATGTTGCAGATTTCCTACTCATTAAATTTGAAAAGAAAAAACTGTACTCCGTGGCCAAAGTGATTTCGATATATAATATGACCGATTATCAAGTGTCATACCTCAGGAAAAAACCAGGATCTTGTACGTTTGTGTTCCCCAATATAGAAGATAAGGCAGACGTTGATTTCGAGGATGTTGTTCTGCAATTGCCAAAACCAAACTTCTCACAGAGCACATCTCGAACATCATCTCTGTATACTTTTCCTATTGACTTAAGTGGATATAATGTTCAATAAAGGTTAAATGTTTTTTTTTAAGTTTTTAAGGTTAATTATTATTTCTGAAAATAAAAAACATGTTTTGGCCATTATTTTTAAAAATTATTTACAGCTCTTATGCAATTTACGCCATGTATCAAAGTACCCCCAGACAGCACACCAAATCCTTTGGATATCTAATGAACATCCCAATATCCACTGAATGTCCAGTCCATGGTGGATATCTATTTTATATCCATGAAATGTAATTTATAGACATGCAAATGTCCATAAATAATAGTAATTATATAGCAAATTATTAAAAAATTACGCCATTGTGCTCGCCATTGTGGCTAATAGTACCGTTCAGATATTTAAAATTAATTTTTTTAAGGTGTATTCTATATCCCATGGACATCCACTATAAATATAAATATATCAAAGTCTAAGCGCGGACGCAAACCATCGTGGATATCTACTAGATGTAATTTTTGATTTTGCTTCCTAAGTATAGATGGCGATACCACTTTCGTATCTACTCATGCTCAACCCGCCGTAAATGAGTTCGATCGAATTTTTTTGGCAATCACACTCTATTAGAGACTGGAGTCGATAATTTCCATTTATTGCTGAAGAGTCCTAATAAGGATGACTTTCTCCTTAGTGCCCTTATAGTGGGCAAAATCAAAGGCAGATTGTTGGAAATATTTTTTATCTCTATTTTCTTTCGAGGTTATTCAATAATCATTGGTTACTTATGAACCTCTACTAAAGATACCTATAAAATATTTTGCTGAATATCTGAATTCTATATCCATATTGGATATCCACAAAATATATTCTGTGGATATCTCTGGGATTTCTTGTATTGTCTGGAAGATACTCATTAGATATTTTGCTGAATATCCATAGGATATCTTCTATATTCTGGATATAGACGGACATTTGGATATCCATATTAGATCTACGGAATATTTCTGATATCCTGGGGATATATTGGATATCCACAAAAGATATTCTGTGGATATCTCTGGGATTTGGTGTGT